GGCCTCAGCGGCCCCGCACACGGCCAGCACCACGCAGCACAGTGCGGCTTGCCTTGGGAAATCCCCCAGCCTTCGTGCCTTCGCCATTTCCAGCTGGGAATCTCGTTGGGATTCGTTTTTTCTTGCCACTGCCGTTCCGTTTTTATTTGTTATTGTACAAAACTAAGCGAATTGCAGAGAGGATTTCAGCTGCTTTTTGCTGTGTTGACTGCCAGGCGTATCTGTGTGCTGGATCTCGTATTGCATTTTTTCTCTCCCTGATTGGTGAACAGCGGCGCTCAGAGTCTTAACCAATAACTGCAACTGCTCAAAAAATAAATCAGAACCTGTTTTGTGTGGGTTCGGATTTATCAACTTTTAGCCCTCACATATACTAGCATTTCCTAAATTAGGGTATGTAGCAATATAGCTTCATTTGGACAGTTTCCCTTAGTTAGTTGAAGGTTAATAATTGGGGTCTCAGGCTCGATTCTTGGTTGGAGTGGAAGAGAAGATATGTTGAGGTTTCTTCCAACCGTAATGCTCGATGGAAGCATGCACCCTTAAAGCACAGCAATCTCTCTTCCTTTAGACTCTTCCTCTCTTTATCCTTTCGGGCCTGTTTAAACAATAGACTTAATCAATCAGAAAGTGAAAGAAAGTCCCAGTGGGACGTGTGTTTCTCCTGCCCCTTGGCTACTGTCCACAGACTTTGGCATTTGCTGTGTATTTTCCCCTCTTAAATGCTAAATATCCGGAAGAAGACTCTCTCTTTATTAAAATTACAAATTCATGAAGAACAGGAACTCAATGAAAGCATTAGGGAAGTGCCTGAAATGAAGACTAGATTCTTAACCAAAAGGAGAAAGCTGTTTCTACTTCGGAAGTGGATTTTCATTGTTAAGGTCTCTGACACTAAGGACCAAAGACCTCTACAGCAGTGACCTAGGCTTTGGTTTAAGCTTTTCTGTCTGGCAGTCAGTATACTCATTAGAAGAGGTTCACAGAAGCAAGTTCCTCCGAATTCATAGCAGTAACAGTTCTGCGTATTTTCAGTCCAAGAATATTACTAGGCCATGATATTGCAGTCATCGACAAAATCCAAGAGAGGGCCTTCTCTTTGTTTGTGGTGATGGGTAAAGAATGTCTGGAGCCTGTTCAGAAGCACTTTCCCCTGCCGCACTTTATATTTCAGAACAATCCAAAATGTCATCCAAGGTCTCTTTTAGTTGTGTTGGAGGGTTTAGAATATAGGCACTTGGTTCTCATCACTGATTTGAGGAGCTGGAAGTGCTGAGCTTACACATCACCTTGAATGATTAAATGCAAAAAGATCCTTCATCGATATGCCTATACTATTCTCCAAAAATGTTCTAGAGAAATAGTGCAAAGGCATTTACATACGATAAATAGTGTGTGTGATTAGGGTATATCAGCGGTGCTCAACATATGGTCCGGGGGCTGGATCCGGTCCCTCATTTACTTGATCTGGCCCACAGCACGGGGATTAACGGCAAGCCGCTTGGTTTGCAAGTCACTTCCTTGCCCTGCACCAAGTGCTAATATCCTTCCTAGCCCTCCCCGGTGTCTTCCTCTCTCCTCGTGGCAGAGGTTGTTAGCTCTCTCATTCAGTTTCTTGTTCCCACCTCCCTGAGGCAGGCACTGTTTAACAGAGAGGTAAGCACACTTCGTCTCTCCCTCCTGATCCTGGCATTGGCCGCCACCTTCCTCCCCCGATCAGTCTTTCCCTCAACTCCCCTAACAAAACTGATACTTTTACAATGTATGTGAATTAATAAATTCACATATATAGGTATACAGGATATTTTGCTTCCTTTTGAGACTGATGATAAGCGGATCACGTTCACCACAGAAATATCAATACAGAATAAAATGTAAAAAACTTAACATAGGTGTTACAAATGGGAAACATAGCGTTCATTATTACATGGATTAATTACAAAATACCAAGGATTCAAATGCAAGCAGATGATGCACCTTTGACGTTAGTAATATATACAATACACTTCAGGTAATATCGCTGTGTACATGTGGAAATTAAAAAAAACAACAACTTAGTTGTCCTTCACCTTTAATACTCACTCTCTCAACTATATGATTTTCCAGAATTGTCAGAAATGTGTTTAATATTTGGAAAGTAATGTCCCGACTATGACTGCACAACTTCCCGATACTGAACACCTGCTAAGACCCAGATACGGCCGCGAGAAAAAAAAAAGAATTAGCACAGAAAAATTGTGAATTTTCCTTACCTGCTTTTTCCTTTGTTCGTTACTTTCCGATAAATAACGGACCATGTAGGGGTTGTTTTAAGATTTAGCATGTCTCGTGTTTAAAATAATATTAATCACATTAATGTAGCAGTAAACCTTACTTAACACAGAATGCAAATCCCATTTAATACCCTGCTTATCTTTATTTAGGGCGGCGCAGCAAATACTGCCAAAGTACTTATCAGGTGTATTCCTCTCAATTTGCCTTCAAATACAGGCAAATACGTGCTCTAACCTTCAGGCTTGTGTTTCTACGATTGTTAGAGTGTGCATCTGTACGGAGGAGTAAGGCTGCTCAAACCGCCGAAGCAGTGAGAACCTCTACAAGCCAAATAAATAGTTTAGCAGCAAACACTAATTAAAAAAAAAAAGACTCAACTGACAAGAACTCGAATTGCTTCGGGCCTGGTGTTTGTTTGTTTGTTTGTGTTGGGTTTTTTATAATACAAAAAATCAACTTCGTAGCTTGCAAGACTGGTCAGTCTGATTACAATTGCCATATTTTTCTTAATGAGAGGGAGGGGTAAGAAACAACACAACGTAAGAAGACACTAGTTAAAATCCTTATTTAAAAAACTAAACACTTATTATGCCGAGGACCGTGTGTTTTGAATTCTGCAAATAAAATCTTTGAATATGTTAGACAAGGTTCTTTCAGTAGATGTAATATTATTAGACCAACTAAGTTGTTTCTTCAGGCATAGGAAGGCTCTGCTGTTCTGAGACTCCAAGGAATGAGAGAAGCTAAAAACGATGACAGGATGCCCGTGAGAATGTAAAAGGTAGAAATTAGGAAAACAAAAGGTAAAGCAGGGAAGGGCGGGGGAGGAGCAGGGGGGAAAAAGCCAAAGGTGAGTAAGGGAGACTCTAGGGTGGTGGCAATTCAAGGTAGAAAAGAGGCTGTCCGTGAAAAAGAAAATGGCTGGAAATTAGGAAGACAACGGGCAGAAAAAGAAGGGAGGGGGAGAAAAGAAAAGTGTAACAGGTCAGATTTGGCAGGTACCTCGTGAATCAGATGTCAGGCAGGTTGTAATGTGTCATAAATCCAATGTCTATACTGAGTCCACGATTTTTTGTATCTAGTAGATTTATGAAGTGAAGTTGGTAGGCTCCCCTACGGAAGGTTTTGTGGCGATCACGAGTATTCTCCTGAGAGCAAGTTTGGTGGTATCAGAGCGCTTGGCTGTAAACTACAGCTTTCTTGATGTGTTTAGGGTGATTGCTGGTTCTGTGTAGACACGGATGTTGGTCCGTAGGTTTCTTATATATGGCGGTTTGAATTTTACCACTTTGGACATTGATCATAGTGTGGAAAAGGGAAATGCTAGTGTTTGAGTATTCAAGAGATAGTCTGATGGAAGGGTGATGATTGTTGATTTTTTGGTGGAAATCATTCACAGACTTCAAGGTCTGGTCCAAACGATGAAGATATCATCTATGTATCTCAAGTATAGTAAGGGTTTTGATGAGTACCCTTGAAACTTTTATATGTTTTTTTATACTTTGGGAACAGCTTTGTATGTTTTGAAAAAGTATTTTATCTAACCAAGGGCATAGAGTAGGGTGTTTAGGCTGGGGGAGATCGCTTGTTGCTAGAAGGAAAGGCCATATCAGCAAGGTTCCTGGTGGAGTTGGAAAGGGGGGTTACTGGCTGAGCTTGCTGAATAACAGGTGCCACATCGGCAAATTACACTGTCACGAAGACAAGTTCAAGCTGGCTAAGGAGTGGTCTGTAGCTAGGGTGAAGTGCGCATGGACCAAAAGGGGCAACCTATAGTAACTGCATAGCGTGTAAGGCTAGAAGAGGCTATATAAGGCTAATGCCCACTTGGGTGGGTGTGCTTGCTTTGCGAACGATTGTCAAGCACCGCTTTCTGAGCAGAAATAAAGATTAAGTTGGATCCTTCACCCCTTTGTGTTTATTGGCACAAGCGCACCGGGCACGAACTCACTGTCCTTTGGGGACAACAGTTTGGTGGTACAATTCTTGAGGAATTCTTTTTCTAGGTACACAGCTCTCTGCTTGGCATATTGTGGGGCCATTTTGGTGCTCATAGCTGTGCTCCCGGTCTGGAGGAAGTGTCGGTTGTCGAAACTGAATTTGCTGTGTGTGAAGATGAAGTATATGAGTTCAGTGATATCCTGAGGTCTGTATTCTTAAATTGTAATCTTGGTCTTGTAGATACGTGAGGCAGGTTTGGATGCCATCCTGGTGTGGGATGTTGGTGTATAAGCTAGTGACATGGTTTCTGGGAACATGGTCTATGTTTTTGAGGTTTTGCAGGAAGTCTGTTGTGTCTTGGATGAAACTCAGTCTCTGGGTGACCAGCGGTTTTGACATGGAAGAAATATCAGGTTTCATCGAATCCATCAGGGTTCCATGGTTTGACTTGATAGGTCTGCCAGGGTTTCCTTCTTTGTGGATTTTAGGGAGCAGGTAAAAAGTCCCTAGATTGGGGAGTGGAGGGATCAGGGTCTGAAGTTTTTCTTGTAGCTCTGATGGAAATGATCTGATGGTGGTTTTGAGATTTGAAGAGAGAAGGGGAGTTGGATCTTCCTGTAGTTGTTTTTATAGTAGGTAGCCCGAGAGTTGGCTTCTTTCTTTTATGTACTCTTCACGGTTAAAGATAACTATAGCTCATATTTATCCGCTGGCTTTAAAACTCATTGGTGGTTGGATCTTAGAGCTTCTATGGCTCTTCTTTCTGAGAGGGAAAGGTTGTTATATATTTTCAATTATATACTTTGAATATATTATGTATTTATGTACCATGTACCTAGGAGCACCTACTACTCCTGACTGATTTTATGTGCCAGACTTAAGAGACAAACAGCTGTTTTAATAAATGACAACACCGTACAGACGGGTTGTAACTCGGGAACAAGCCCTTCATCTGGCAAAGGGAAACATGAATGTATTTTTGCCTTCACCACCCTCCTTTTGAAACTTGAAAAAGGATAATGCTGTGCTCCAAGGTGAGCACTCGCTCCATTAGCTCGCTGGGGGAAAACTTAAAATATCCAGCCAATGCTCCGAACGAGGAAATATCATTACAGTCCCACACCTCCTCTCCTGAGATCGCAGCCATTATGATAGCGCACACTAGAGAACCTGATGTCAGGTAAGAAAGAATCAAGTCACGTGGGCCTTGAAATACAATGTCACTACTTACGATAATACCTACAATCTGGGCCAGCACAGTCTAAGCAGGGACTATGTAATAAGTTTTGTACAATCAGCCCAGCTAAATAATTCTTTCTGGAAAGCGCCGACTATCTCACGGTAGAGACTGTTCCCAGGGGATCTACACTACACCAGGGAACTCAACACTGGGAAGGAAAAATGTCGGGCTTTAATAAAGTGAGCTATGATCTCGTGTACTGTCAACGAGTATATCCAACACTACGTCCAAGCAGAGCCCCATACAGTATTTCACAAGTGAGCCCTAGAGGTGGTACAAGTCCCAGTGACAGAAAAATTAACCTACGTCCAGCGGGTTAGAACAAAATTACCTAATCTTGATAGTTGGCAGGACGATTGTACATGCAGTTTGAGAATGGCCTTGAGCAGCTCGTACGACAGCCAGGCGTTCTGCCCCGCGTCCGCGTCCACCGCCACCACCTTGGTCACCAGGTAGCCCGGCTCGGCCGAGCGCGGCGCCAGCTCCACGCCCGTCGAGCCGTCGCGGGGCGCCGCCGGGTACAGGATCTGGGGCCGGGTGGCGTGGCGGCGACCCGCCGTCCCGCGCCTCCACGGCGAAGCGGATCTCGCGCACCTGCTCGTAGTCCAGGGCGCGCAGCGCATGCACCGCGCCGCCCTCCGAGTGGATCGAGAGGTAAGAAAGAAGCATTTCGTTAATGCCTTCTTTAATAAAGGAATAGGAGACTTTCGCATTTTCGTCCAAGTCTCGGTCACTTGTGTGTATAGACAAGACCTAAAGCCTCTGGGATTGTTTTCCGTGATGGTGTACGTGCACAACGTCTGGTCAAAGACTGTGGGGTTGTCGTTTTCGTCTAGGAGCTGCACGAGCATGGCGGTGGTTGCTGATAGAGGTGGACTTCCTCTGTCGGTGGCTGTGACAATAATATTGTACTCTAAAATGGACCCTCTGTCCAAAATTCCGTCACCAAGCTATAATAGTTATCAGGTGATTTATTTAACAAGAACGGGACATTTTCCGCTGTAGAACATGTGATTCGACCATTGTCTGCAAAACCCCAGTCATTTACGTTTAATAGGGCGGACACCATGGCCGGGGATTTGCCTTCACTAAGTGGACTAAACAAGGACGTGATGGTAATTTATGGAGCGTTGTCATTGACCTCCACCACCTGGATTAAAACTTTGGAACAGGTAGAGAGGCCTCCAGCGTCACAGGCCTGCACTTCCATTTCATACAATTCAGTTTCTTTTAACTTAATTTTTCTCCAGACTGACATGTCTCCACTTTTAGAGTCTATTCAGAAAACTTCCGTGGCTCTACCGGTTACTTTAATAAAAGAGTAAGTTCTTTCCTAGTTAACCCTTTGTCTAAATCCGTGGCATGTTTTCGAGTCACCATTGCACTCACCGGCATGGTTTCCATATATACAATCTATAAACGGATTGATTAAAAGCGGGTGCCTTGTCATTTATATCTATTACAATAATCCGGATTGTGGCTGTACCTGACCTCACCGGATCTCCGCCATCACTGGCTGTGAGGATGATTTTATGAACAGAACGTTCTTCTCTGTCCAGATTTTTCCAAGACTAGCTCTGCAGACTTTTCCCCATTTGTTCCGGTTTGCACATTCAGATCGAAATGTGCATTAGTGCTGAGCCTATAGGTTTGCATAGAATTGATACCCACATCAGTATCTTCTGCATCCTACAGACGCGATCGTGTCCCCAAGGGAGTGATTTCACTCATTTTAACAGTATTTCCTCCACTGGGAATCTGCGAGCATTATCATTAATATCCTGAATTTGCATTTCAACCCGGTTGAGCTCCAGAGGATGTTCAAGAAGTATCTCAACATTTAATATACAGTAGCTGATTGGACCACATATCTGTTCCCTGTCAATCATTTCATTGACATTCAAATGGTCATTTCTCTCATTCAGAGCAAAATACTGAGTCCTCCTTCTGGAAACAAGGCGGACACCGCGGTACGAAAGCACCTTGGACTCCATCCTTAGGTCCTTGGAAACATCCCCCATGAACGAGCCTTTTGCCATTTCCTTCGGAATTGAATAGTGAACCTGCCCGGTAACTGTGGTACAAACAACTACCGCCATAAGGTAAATCAAGATCCTTCCTTTGTAGGGGCAAGGGTTTTTTTCTGTTATAATTTCCCATTCCATAAGGCGGCTGCCTCCGGTCATTGTCACGCATAGCCTTTTTATTTAGAATTAAAACCCTATAAGTACTGAATAAGAGTGACTTTAGACCTTCATTCATTTAATTCAATGCGGTAGATACCACAGGCTTCGGTTTCCTTGGTCCCCGGCCACTGATGTTTGCTGTTATCCCTTCCCCTCTGCACATTACATAACAGCAGGGCATGGGTGGCTGGATTGCTCGAGCACTTTTCTCCCTGATTGGTGAAGAGCTACACTTAGAGTCTCAGGGAATAATTACAGAAACGCACATTACAGGTTGCAGGCTTTAGGCATAATTTGGATTTTGCTATTTAAATAACCTCTTATCCGTAAAGATTAGCACAGCTGAATACCTGTTTGGGAGCGTGCAATGTGGCTGGACATATTACGTTTTGGGAATGAATGTGCAATGTCTTATTTAAATACTACATAAGGTTTTCGAATATCTCATATTTATGCAGGTACAACTAGAGGGTCGTACATTTTGTGGCTGCTGTAGGCACGGCACATTCCACAAATGGGGTGCTCCCTTCATCCAGCCAATTCCCCCTCCAATCTCCATTTTCCATCCTTCGCATCCCTCCAAGTCCCATATCCAGGTTTCTGTGTCTTCCCCATTCTTCACTTTTCATCCATTTCTTCCTTTTCCCGAGTCCCACCTTTATCCCGCCTTTATTCCTCATTTTCTTCACTCAGGAGTTCTGTAATACCTATGTCCCTGAGGCGGGATACCTGCTCCGCCTTCCATCTGATACTTTCCCATTCTATCTTTCCCTCACCATTCTTATTTTCCTTCTTTCCTCTTTTTCTTTTCTGTTTTATTTCTTTTTCAGAATCTTGGCATCTTTAAATTGCACCAAGAGGACGAAAAGAGCTAAAATGGTAATCACTTATAATGGTGAAATACGTGAAAGGTGTAGCTGTTGTCAAGCTGCTCTTTCATCTGAAGACTATGAATACCCTGAAGCGCTAGTTCTGCTGAATCAAATGTCAGCGGCTCTGCTTGTCTTCCATTTCTCCTCTTAGATTTTCCCAGTTTTTACATAATTAATACCGTTCTGCCCATTGATGCTCAGAATATACTTTAGAATCGATCAGACCCTGCATTTGAAAGTTATTCTTTCATATCTCAACGTCCAATCAAAAAAGCCCTCTAAGTTGAGTGCCGGGCTTCGCCAAACATTAAAAAACGTATTGGAATGCCAAAAATTACAATGGAAAATACAGCATTACAGTAAACATGAAAAACAAACTCAATTCTATATTTTCTTTCTCCGGGAAGTACAGCATTTTTAATTTCATGTAGAATCAATACCGAATTTTAGAAAACACACATAATCTTTGCTTACTTGTTGCATTCTCTGTAACTATTTCATTTGTTGTTGATGACCTCCTACTGCTGTTATATGCACTTTTTAAGCAACTGCTGAAAAGTAGGGCAGCACATTGATCAACTTCTTTTCACACAAGACAGTAAACTCCGACAGACACTTGCAGGTAATTTGAACTATTAATCAGATTAATTGAATCATTCTGATATTGGAAACTTGCTCAAGTCTTTAATAAAACTGTAACATTAAAATTGAATTTTGAACAGAAGATAGCAAAAATAGCTCCCCCACACAGTCTTTTCAGTGCTTGTTGAATACACTCACTATAATTTGTGATGCTGTCTAAATGAATGAACATGAGATCATCACTTGTGCTAACACCAACTACAAGTGTAAATTAGCTTGAGACTCCAGCTTCCCAAAGTCCCGAACTATGTGTTGATGTGCATGAAAAGGGGCTATTTCACTATAACTTTTGAAGTGAATTTAATACATTCTGCCAAAATTTTGCACTAATTGTTCTGGTCTTTAACATTCGGAATTTGATTGTCCTTTTCATGCAAAAGGCAACACTTCGTTAGGGTGATGTCTTTTATTACACCAGCTATGATAAAGTTAGGCAAGCTTTCAAATGCATGGCGTTCTTCCTCTGGTCTGTGTGGATGAGGAGCCAGGCACAGCAATAAGTCCCTACCTTAAAGTAAGTCGCTTTATAGCAAAGGTCAAGCAACACAGACGAGAAAATAGCCTCAAAAAGAATATAGAGGTTTACAAGACAAAACCAACACTTTGAACTTCAACCAACAATCAGTAGAAGTGCAATGTTCCCGTGCTAGAAATGCCGCTGAATAAATATAGCTCTGCATTCTGCATGATCTAACGCAGAGGATCCCATCTTTTTTCTTATTCCACACCCCCTTCTGTTGAGCCCCAGCTCAAGTCTGGGATCGTGCCCGGTTTGCAAAGGCCAATAAAGATACCAGGGGTGAAAGTATAAAGAAGATTTATTGCCAGCAATAAAAGGTGCAAGCAGAATAATTTCACGTAACAAGCACACAGATTTGTAATTCTAAGCATCTTTTATACAGGGGTTTAGACCTTCATAAGCATACTTGTTTGCTAATTGGTTATAAAGGAGTGACACAAGGAGTTCTTTACTGAGCATGTCTCTATACCTGTGTTTTAGCTATGTATCTCATTTACATACATGTATGTTTCATTAGCATACTTTCTCCCCACCTAGGGGCATGATTTTTAGTATTTTAATGAGCTCTTTGACCCAGTCCTCTGATTCTGCTTTTGTTTTCAAGCCTCCTTTATCTAAGACTGTCTCCTCCTTATCATTGCAGATGGGCATTTGTTACATAACATAGACTTTTGCTTGGGCTTTGTATAGTAGTTTCTAGGTCAAACCTCACATTCCCCTCTCTGGAGCATTTTTAATTATTATTATTATAATTGCTCCACTCAATTTGATTTAACACAAATCTAGTATCCTCAGCTTTCTTTGTTTGCAAAATCATTTGATTCACCTTAGGCCTGAAGATAGATAAGAAGACAGGTAAACATTGTATACAGCAACAG